AAATAAAATAGCTAACTAATAAATAAATAAATAAATAAAAATAACTGAAAGATAGAAGAAGAAATCTCATGCTGCCAAGTTCTTTCTTTCAGTCTCAAAAGTGCTACAAGATCTCTTTACGTTCTGTTTTAAATTGTGTTAGCCGCCTTAAGTCTCTGTATCAGGAAAAAGGCAGGATATAAATAAATAAATATAATAATAAACAATGATGTAGGAGTCTGGTGGTCAAGATAGTGGTTGTGTGAATGTGAAAACATTCACTTTAAAACGATCAGAACTATCAGATATTAAAATCTTCTCTCCCTTAATTCTCACTTCTAGTTAAAAAAAGAAAAAGTTAGTGATGACGTGTTCAGCCCCCTCCGGAGTGTGAAAGAGGCTTAACAACCATTGGCAGAACAACATGGAGTCACACTTAGGAGCCATCTTAGGGAGGGGGAGAAAAACATCTGGAATAAATAGCATTTTGTTTGTTGGGTGCCTTCAAGTCATTTCCGACTTATGGCGATCCTAAGGTAAAGTTATCATGGGGTTTCCCTTATCATGATTTCTTTAGAGAGGGTTTATCTTTGCCTTCCTCTGAGGTTGAGAGACTGTGACTTGCCCAGGGTCACCCAGTGAGCTTCACCTATCATGATTTGTTCAGTGTTTGCCATTGCTATCCTCTCTGAGGCTGAGAGTGTGTGACTTTGTCCAGGGCCACCCAGTGACTTTCACCTATCATGACTTGTTCAGAGGGAGTTTACCTGCCATCCTATGAGGCTGAGAGAGTGTGACATGCCCAAGTCCACCCACTGACTTTCACTTATCATGATGTTTTCAGAGGGAGTCTGTCACTGCTATCCTCTCCGAGGCTGAAAGAGTGTGACATACCCAGGGTCACCCAATGAATTTCACCTATTACAACTTATTCAGAGGTGGTTTGCCACTGCTATCCTCTAAGGCAGAGAGAGTGTGACTTGCCCAGGATCACCCAGAGAGTTTCACCTATCGTGATTGAGGTTTCCGACTTCCCCAAGGCCGAGAGAGTGTGACTTGTCCAAGGTCACTCAGTGACTTTTACTTATCATGGGGTTTCCTTGGCAAGATTTGTTTAGAGGGGGTTTGCCATTGCTATCCTCTCTGAAGCTGAGAGAGCGTGACTTGTCCGGGGTCACACAGTGACTTTCAACTATCATGAGTTCAGAGGGGGGGGGTTTGCCACTGCTATCCTGAGGCTGAGAGAGTGCGACTTGCCTAGTGGGTTTCCCTATCGGGGTATGTTCAGAGGAGGTTTGCCACTACTATCCTCTTTGAGGCTGAGAGAGCGTGACTTGCAGTGGGTTTCACCTATCATGAGGCGGGGCGGATTCTGGAAGCGAAGCAGGCCCCACGCGTAGGCCTTTCCGTGCCAGACAAACCTCCCACCGACTGGGCCCAAAGCACTTGGGGAGAGAGGGAGCCTTTAGCAAGAGGCCTCCGCCTTGAGCTGAGAGGCAGAGGCGGCGGCGGCGCCCATCCAGGGCCGCCCTCCCATCGGGACCCGGCAGGGCTCCGGGACTTTGGGCCGGAAGAGAGAGACAGGCCCCCGGTCCACCCTGAGCGCCTCCCTCACCTGTGAGACCCAAGAGGGCCCCGATGCCGATGGATTCCGTTCAGGGACTCAGGCCATCAAAGGCGGCAGCGGCGAGCAGGACAGTACTTTCCGGCTCTCCCCTTACTTCCGGTAGGGCGTCGCGCCGATGACGTCATTGCAGCGCGACGCCCGAACTGTCGTAAAAGCCGTCTTTGCAGCCCTGTGTTAACAAAAAAACAAAAACCCCAAACCAAATCCAGGTTGGACCTAGCAGATGATAACCCAAGTCCGTCAGGGA